CTAGTCTTGAAATTCCCAACACCAAAAGGAATCAAAACGGTGTACAGGGAACAACCCGCAGCCAAAGAGATGTTCACAATTGATGAGGTAATACCAGTATCGGCACTATCATCAATGAAGGGACCAAAATCGAAGGGAAAGTATGAAGTCAAATAGCAACCACAGTCGTCGGCCTCGACCAGATCATAGCAACAGGAAACTTTCGAGGATGATAATTATATGATACCTCGAAACTTCGTAATCCCTGACGATTCCTATGCCACGAAGTCAACGATTGAAGAGTTGGAACAAGTCATACTAATCGAGCATCTGCCCGATCGAAAGGTATACCTGCGCATGGGGTTAACTCCCGATCTCAGGGAAAAACTCATTAAATTCCTTATTAAAAATTTTGCTTGGTCCCACCTTGACACGACAGAGATCCCACTGGAGATTACCACTCATCGATTAAGCTTAGACCAAACGTTCAGATCGGTAAAGCAAAAGAGAAGGCCACAGTCCGAGGTTAAGCATGCATTCATCAAGGATGAGATAATCAAACTTCTCAAAATAGGGTCCATTCGGGAAATAAAATTTCCCGAATGGCTAACAAACGTAGCCGTAGTCCCTAAAAAGGGGAATAAACTCAGAATGTGCATAGACTACAAAGACTTAAACAAAGCATGCCCTAAAGATTCCTTTCCTTTGCCGAATATCGATCGCATGATCGATGCCACGGCCAGCCACGAGATCCTCAGCTTTCTCGATGCCTACTCCGGGTAAAACCAAATACAGATGAACCCGGAGGATCAGGAAAAGACTTCATTCATTACTAAGTATGATACTTATTGCTATAATGTAATGCCGTTTGGGCTAAAAAATGTTGGTGCTATTTATCAACGCCTAGTAAATCGAATGTTCGAGGAACAAATAGGTAAACCAATGGAGGTTTATATTGATGACAAGTTAGTTAAGTCCCTGCGCGCAGAGGACCATTTGACACATTTGTAGGAAACCTTCAACATATTGAAAAAATACAAAGTGAAGCTCAATCCTGAGAAATGTGCATTTGAGGTCGGTTCGGGCAAGTTCCTCGGCTTTATGGTGTCAAATCGGGTAATCGAGATCAACCCTGATAAAATCAAGGCAATCGAAGACATCATAGTCATGGATAGCGTTAAGGCCGTACAAAGATTAACAGGGCCGATAGCCGCCTTAGGCCGGTTCATCTTGAGGTCTTCGTATCGAAGTCACAGATTCTTCTCACTGCTCAAAAAGAAGAACAATTTCGCTTGGACCCCGGAATGCCAACAGGCGTTGGAAGAGTTAAAGTGGTATCTTTCGAGCCCCCCATTGCTTCATACTCTAAAAGCGGCCAAGCAACTCTACTTATATTTGGCAGTCTCGGAAGTTACGTAAGTGGTGTCCTAGTTCGAGAAGAGCAAGGTACGCAATTTCCTGTTTACTATGTTAGCCAAACTTTAGGTGAAGCCGAGACCTAGTACCCACACTTAGGAAAAATTATCGCTTGCTCTGATAAGCGCCTCTAGGAAATTAAAACCATATTTTCAATGTCACCCAATTTGTGTTGTAACCACCTACCCCCTTCGCAATATTTTGCACAAGCCCGAACTGTCGGGTCGATTGGCCAAATGGGCCGTCGAGATTAACGAGTACGATATCGAGTATCAACCCTGAATGGCCATCACATCTCAAATCTTGGCAGACTTCGTGGTCGACTTCACGCCAGCCCTCGTACCCGAGGTCGAAAAGGAACTATTGTTAAAATTGGGTACATCTTCGGTAGTGTGGACCCTCTTCACGGACAGTGCTTCGAATGTGAAGGGGTCCGGGCTGGGCATCATTTTAAAGCCACCCACGGGAAATACATTTAGACAGTCTATTAAAACATCGAAATTGACTAACAATGAGGCCGAGTATGAGGCCATGATTATAGGTCTCGAGCTAGATAAGAGCTTGGGAGCAGAGGTCATCGAGGCCAAGTGTGACTCCCAACTTGTGGTAAATCAGGTCAACAGAACTTTCGAGGTTCAGGAAGACCGGATGCAGAGTTACTTAGACAAATTACATGTGTCTCTACATCGATTTAGAGAATAGACGCTACAGCACGTGCCTCGGGAACAGAATAGCGAGGCTGATGCCCTTGAAAATTTGGGGTCATTAATCAAAGATGATAAACATAGATCGGGGACTGTCGTACAACCTTCAAGTTCAGTGATCGAAGAAGGGCACGCCGAGATAAACTCCACAAGTTTAACCTGGGATTGGAGGATAAGTACATCGAATACTTAAAGAACGAGAAGCTTCCATCGGATCCTAAAGAATCAAGGACTCTACGTACTAAGGCTACGCAATTCACTTTGGCCAAGGATGGAACACTATATAGGAGAACGTTCGACGGTCCGTTAGCAAAATGTTTGGACCAAGAGACACCGATTACGTTCTACGAGAAATCCATGAGGGCACTTGTGGAAACCATTCTGGTGCCGAGTCGTTGGTTCACAAAGTCATTAGAGCAGGATACTATTGGACTGATATGGAAAAAGACAGTAAAGAATTTGTTCGAAAATGCGACAAATGTCAAAGGTATACGTCGATGATCCACCAGCCCGAAAGGAACAACTTCACTCAGTCTTATTCCTATGGTCGTTCATGAAATGAGGGATGGATATCATCGGCCCTCTGCCATCGACCTTAGGTAAAGCTAAATTCATTTTATTGATGACTCACTATTTATCTAAATGGGTTGAAGCACAGGCTTTCGGGAAAGTCAGGGAAAAAAAAAGTCATAGACTTCATCTGGGATCATATCATATGCCGATTCGGGATACCCGCCGAGATAGCATGCGACAATGGAAAATAATTTATCGGCAGCAAAGTAACAAAATTCCTCGAAGATCACAAAATAAAAATGATCTTGTCAACACCGTATCACCCTAGTGGGAATGGACAGGCCGAATCAACAAACAAGACCATCATTCAGATACGTAAAGAAAAGGCTTACCGTGATTTTTGGCCTCCCATCGGCCCCTTGCTAATCGCGCCATGAGAGCTCAGCATACGAGGAGGTCGAAGCTAGGGTTCGAACCCAGTTCTCGAGATTCAGAATCGCACCAAGCATCCAAGCGATCGCTACATCACAGAAAAGGATGTCAATGAAAAGAAGTAAAGGAAACAAAACAGTAAATAAAAGCTAAAGGAAGGATCGAACTTACGCTCTGTATTACACTTCTCGGGAAATGGCATTTTCTTGGCCAGAGTTAGGTCGGAAGTTTTCACTCGAACGAACCGACCCATCCACCCTCGATAGTTGTCCTCGTCTATGCTTGAGAATAACACCTTGGTGGCCCGACGCTGAAGCTTTATCAACCCGCCTAAAAAAAGACGGGGCCTATAAAGCCTGATGAGATGGTCGAGGGTGAAAGGCGTCCCTTCTTTTTTGCTCGCAAAAAATCAGAACAAAATGACAATCCGCCAAAAGGAAGGGTGGATCTGGCCTAGGGTTATTTGGTATTGGCGATAGAAGTCGATAATGACGGGATCGACATGCCCAAACATGAAAGGATAAGTGTAAACACTTAGAAACCCTTCCACGTAGGTATTGATATCTTCCTCGGGAGACGGATCACCACCTCTTTCTTCTCCCAATGGCAGTCTTCCTTGATCTACTCGCGGTCGCTCTTAGTCATCGACCACATGTGCATAGACATTGGCTCACACCGGCCAGGGACAGAAGAATTTTTCTCGACTTTAAAGTCGGAAGAAAGATCGCACCCCATCTCGGGAACGCATTCCTCAGGGCGCGGCTCCACCGGTGTTTTTTCGTCGGCCGGCCGCGATAAAGAGGCTTTCTCCTTTTGAGGAATAGTTTTTGATGTGTTCGCCATTTTTTTTAAAGAAAGGAGAAGAGGATGAGGCTTGGTGTTTTGAAGAAGGGTTGGTAACGGAGCCTAGGAGACTATGCAGAATGGGAAAGCTTAAAAGATGTGAAAGGCTTTGAAGATTTGTAGATAGACTTGAAGAACTCAAAGGGATTTTTGAAGATTAGTACAGAAAAATTCAAAGTAAAGTTTGAGGAAGTGAGAAGATAAGACCTATTTAAGGATTCACGGTGACAGTTCAAAGGCACTAGTGGGCGACCACCAAATGACGCTCATCAATGATTTTGGGAACTGTACCGATGAGACGTTTCGGTCGCTTCCGTCACAAGGATGACGTCATGATAGATCGAGGTACGAAATCGAAGGCTCAATTCGTTTCTTCTCATTACATTCCAAGAAACGAGGGGACTATCTGTATAAGATTAAAATCGGACCTACCCGATTGTGCTATTTGATCGAGACAAGGGGACTGCAGCGAGGGTTAGCCTCGTAATGGATCAGACCAGAACACGAAGACGAGGTATCGAGTCCAGGGATCGAGGTGCCTGTCCAGATCGAGGCCAACAGCGATCGAGACCAAATATGACATACTTCGAGCAAGGCGCAATAACGGAAAAGCGAGATATCTGTAACCAGCCGGAGATCACGACGTAAATCTCGGAACAGATAAAATCAAGGCGGGTTATCTAGTTAATCATGGGATTTACTTCCGGAATTAGAATTGTACCATAAATAAGATTCCTCTACTATATAAAGGGGATCCTAATCATCTTGTAAACACCTTACATTCACGCATATCAGAGCAATACAATACTCTATACAGTTTCTCTTTAATTTACGTACTCTTGTTCATCAGTTATTTTGTTTCTTAACTATTTTGGACACCGATCAGTTTGAGGATACCAAGTTCGAGGGCTGAATCACGTTCCAAGACTGGTTCGCTTTATTTTATTATCAATTTCTATCACTAATCTTTGCACTTGTTAATTGGTATTAGGCGAAATCACGTATTCTTAAAACCACATTATAAGTTTAATTGTTATCCAGTTTTTAGGGTAAACACATGTATAGGAGAAACTTGAAAAGCATCATATATATATTTGATGTACAAATACCACGAAACGAGAAGAGAAACTAAATTATATCGTAATTTTGTAGAAATAGAAGTAAATCCATAGTCTGCAGTTTACAAACACCCACCACATCTATATATACTTTACTACACAGAAAAATAAAAAAGAGACAACATAAGTGCTCCATGAAGTTATGCTTTGGCCACCAATGAGTAATCAGTTGACACCTGCGAGTATTGAAACTTGCTTATTTAAAATGACATGGTGACTAATACCACATGAATTTCTTCCTTTATATGTAAAATTATCCCTAGCTAGCTCGCTAAAAGATAATTATTTCTTTAACTAAGATAGTGATGTCTGCACTCTGCTCATTTCTAGCAAAGGCAAAGAAACATAGTATATACTTTCCGGCAAAAAGGTAGGATAATAAAACCGGAAAGATCATTACGTACATTACCCTAATAACCCATATGATCCCATCACTCAGCATGGGGTCAAAATCAGCAACTAATAATTGGCCGAGCTAGCTAGCTGCTGGTTAACCAAGTTTAGTAGGACTTATAATATTTAATTAAAAGTTCCAGAGGTAGGAATGCTGAGAAAAATGTTCATCTCCATTAATGCCACTGTCCTCGTACCCATGTTCATCTCCATTACCAGTTGCTGTTCTTGTTGGAAAATGTAGTGGTGAGTAAAGGTTACTTGACAAAGTTTCCAGTCCAGGGTAATATCCAAAATCAAAATTATTAGTCCCAACAGTTGGTGAAGGAGGTGCTGCAGGAGGAAGAGAAGAAATATGTGGTGGTGGAGCACCACCAGCAGCAGCATTATTAGGATAATTCTCCAACATATCTAGAAAGGACCAATCCACAGTAGTAGTAGTAGTATTGTCCATTTGACCCATCAAATCATGATTACAAGTTGACGATTGCGACATCTCCTCATTCTCCATTTTCAACATGTGCGTATTTTGAACATGTGATGGTGGTGTTTCCTGTGCTGTTGTCTGCGGGTGAACGTATTCATTCCCAAACTGCGCCGCAACAACCTGTATCTCCGCCGGCGAAAGCTTATGTCCGCCGGAAATATCAGGCGGATTCTCGGGAAAGTTAAATTTGGCATTAGGGCCACGTAGACAAAACTGGGCCGCATCAAAAGCTCTGGCGGCCTTCTCAGCCGTATCATATGAGCCCAACCATATTCTCTCCCGGCTGTTGGGCAACCTCACTTCAGAAACCCATTTTCCCCACTTCCTCAACCGCACTCCTTTGTACTTAATTGATTCATTTCTCTGATTCTGATTCTCACTCTGACCCTCCATAGATGCTTAGTTAAAAGGGTATATATGATGTTGTATATATAGTGGACGTCCCAGGTGATCAAGAATGAGATGTTAATCGAAGAGACCATTGGAGGGAAAATGGCTAAAAATAGTGTGCATATATATGGAGGCTATGGTTTGACCTTTGTCAAATGTCAATATATGGTTCAAAGGCTCGAAGCGTGTGGGAAATTTGAATTTCAAGCTCCAAGTCCAAATGAGCGTAAAGAGAGTGTTTGGTGTTCCATATGTTACATGGCTCGGTGGAGAAACTGATGGTGAGATAATTAATGACGTCACCTCCTCAGCTTACGCGGCCGTTTCTCATTTAGTCAAGAAAACTGATGATTTTAAGTAGCTAACACTTCCCATCGTTTTTATGAATTATGCTGGTTGGAAACAAGAGCAAAAACGTGAAAAAAAAAAAATGTTAACAAATATTAGCAACACCAAAGAAAAAATTAAAATGATGAAAAGACAAAAAGAATCGAACGGAAACTTGGATAATTAAAAGAATGGGGCAAACTAACTCTTGAAAAGATGGAAGAAGACAAAGTAGGTCAATAGGTTGGAGATTTGGAGTTAAAATAAAAAAAAATTAAATGATAAAATAGAATTATGGTGTAATAAGGTAATGAAATAATTAGAAAAGAAAATAGAAAATGATCCCACCATACCAAATCGGTTGTTTCATAAAATGGGGCTTTTGGTTGTTTCTGAACAAATAATCAATTTTAAATAAACAATCAAAACAAATATCGTTTTGGGAGAATAATACAATACGATACAATTGGTAACAACCATCCAAACAAGCCGTAAAGGATCTATCAATTTATTACTCCACTTTCTCATTAAACTTGAAGAAATAATATATTCTACTACGTATTTGATATTATAAATTTCATGTAATTCAATGAACTATCAAGGTCATTAGAACGGGATAAAGATTATATTTATTCTCTGCCCCTTTCCTAAAAAATTTTTTAAAAACAATGATTAAATTTTTGGTTACAATCAAATAAGAGTTTATGTTATATGTGTTGCACAATCACGGCACAGATAACGTAATTTTATAGATAAATTATATGATAAATATTATGGTAACCTTAAATGGTAGTTAACTCACTTGCTACTATAGGTTGAGACTTAAGATTCACACACAACGAAAAAAAAAAAAAAAAAAAAAAAAAAAAAATTAGTCTGACAGTGTACATTAATTAATTCTGTCAAACAATTTGGGAAGACATACAAAATTAAGTCCATAAGTCAGTTTTGTCAGATTTGCGCGTTAGAAATGGCTCTTGTTCATTATGTTAATCCAACCTCAGCATAAATAGCAAACTTAGGTGGCAAAAAGTTCTGGAAAACAAATGATTTTTTATAGGAGTTAGCAAAGTATACCGGTCCAGCATAATATGCTGGAGTTCGTACGCAAATGCACCAGAATTCCCGTATATTATACTGGACCGGTCCCTGTTGCAGCAAAATAGGGCTATTTTTCATTGACTTGATAAACGCTGGCTATTTTTCATTGACCAGTGTGAAAACTGGCTATACCATGATATTTTAACTTAAATTGTTGTCTGTCGGTGCTCAATTAATTTTTTGATAAATAAATCGTTCATTGTTATATCCATTTAATAACTGTAGAGAACGATATTGGGGATCACAATTTACAATTAATTTATTTTAATAATTTATAAACATTAAACTATAAATTATAACCTGCTTAAGTTGCTCCAATTATTAACATAAAAAGACTATGTGCTATAATACTCAGTTTAACATCAATGTCAAATATAAACATCAAATTGTAAAATTGATTGAATGGTATTATTTCCTCACTATATTTGAATTTTTAACAAGATAATACATTAAAAGTACAAGTGTAATTTATATTAATAATTTTTCTACAATAAAAAATTTACCGATCTATTTGTAAACTAATTTTGAATACATCCAATTTGGTCTTGCAAGTGTTTCAATAGTGGGAACAATCAACTACCTGATGAAAGTTAAAACGAACAACATCATTCTTTACAATACGAGAAAAGTTAAAAAAAAAAAAAAAAAACTAATGATTTTACTTTATGTCTTGTATAAAACAAAATCAAGAGAAATTTTTAGTATAGTCAACAAAGAGAACTTCCAAGGGGACTTGCATCCCTAAAGAGGTAATTTACTACTTCAAACAAAGAGAACCAACTACACTAAACAAATATTAACATGATATAAATTGTAATAATTCAATATAGTAGTTCAAATTATATTTTATTATAACTCGATTAAAATGATGTTACTGGTGATAAGATAATAAATATCTGATAGAAGTCTATATAAATTATAGAGATTTTTATATTCTTAATTAAGGATATAAGAGAAACGTTTTTATTTTTTCTATAGATTTATCATATGTAAATTTTTATAATGAAATAATATAAAATATTTTAAGACAATTTATAGATTGTTGAAAATTTATCATGGAAGAATGGAGTTCAAACCATATAAATCAAATTTTCACATCAATTAAGTATATAAGAGGTAACCTCCTAGAACAGATGAACAAATATCATCACTTAAATTAACTTTTAAGGTTTAACAAATTATAGTTTTTAAAATTACTTTTGAATATAAAACTTTTAGGTTTAAATCGCCTTCAAATAGTGTGAATACATGAAAACCTTTTAATTTTATTTTTTAAATTGTGTTAAAATAGTATGGGTAAATATGAAAATCTTGTAAATATTTATCTATATTTCTTTTTGTTGCTTTATTATTTAAAAATTAAATTTACTTTTTCTGTGGAAACTTTTAGTTGACTAAAACAAAAATTAATAATTTTATCAAATGAGAAAAAATATTCAAAATGAGTATTTGCATGGAGTAACTCTCTGCAAAAGTAGTCTAATCTACATTACATTTAAACTTTTAAAGGAGTGATGTGGTCAAGGGAATGTGGGTTCCACGTATATCAAGGATGACACAATATGCATTTAAGAAATGCAAATAATACAATAATTTTTTTCGAAATGACATATATGCCCTTGGTTGACCANATAGGGCTATTTTTCATTGACTTGATAAACACTGGCTATTTTTCATTGACCAGTGTAAAAACTGACTATACCATGATATTTTAACGCATAAATAGCAAACTTAGGTGGCAAAAAGTTCTGGAAAACAAATGATTAGAATATTTTACTAGAATTGCTGCATGGCTATTTTATCAGATTGGAAGAGATAATTTATTCATTCCTCACTTAGGCGTTAGCCAGATAATCCAAGACAAAGTCCTCTGTGTACGAATTAGTCAAACAAGACAAAGAAGAATATTTTATTATGCTTAGCAAAATTATACCGCATGATAGAGAGAATATTTAAATGGTGTTATTAAAATATAGTAGAACACAAAAGTACTTAAAATTGGCGTTTAAACTTTTTATCTAACTATTTTCATCGGAAACGTGCTTTGCAGGTAAATGATCTCATGTTAATAATCATACCAAAATTTATATCCAAAACTAATTAAATTTTTAATCGCTAAAAAATTACTTACGTAATATATACTACATTTTTCTGATTATAGAATAAAATTAAAAGCATTCAAAAGTGATAATTTCCGTTCTTGATTGTTGTCTTTGATTTGAATGGATGTGCTTTCAAGTTACTATATTAAAAGTTGGTGTGAAGATATTTAAGCTGGTATCGATATTAGATATTAGTATTCTATTGGCAAAAGAGAAAAGATATTAGTGTATTTCATGTCCTAATAGAAATTACTCAGTGACTTAAAAAGGGATAAATTTTAAGGAAAACTCAAAAAGGTTCGATACATAGAGTAATTAATAAACATGGACTACCGGACCAAGGAACTCTCGAATCAAGATGTGGCGACGACACTGTTATAACTTATATTATGTGCTATTCTCTAAAGGAAATATTAATGTGAGTTTAAGTTATATACTAAAAAATAAAAATTACATGACTTAAATTTTTTTAATAATATTTGTGTCCTCTTATTCAAATCGTGTTGTTGAAAGATCTGATCTTTTTCTTTTTCATTTTTATGTTAGTTTAGATTTAGTGGTCAGAATGGCATTGTTATTGCATAAATATTTAATTTGCCTTTTACCAATAACAAAAGGACAAATTCTTGATCTGCGTTTCTTGTTTAGCTTTTCTTTAAACAGAAGGTGGTTTAGAAGGCAGAGACGTCTCTTGTCAATGCCCTCGTATGCTCTCTTCCCTTCTGTCCCCATCCATCCCTCTCTTATTTATTTTTTACTGTAATTTTTCTTCGAGTAATTATGTCTATCTTAATCAGACTAAGTCAGGACATGAGTCCAATTGTTGGTATCTTTTCTCATTCAATCTGATTAATGATTCTGTCTTCTCACCGTTGGTAGCTTAGTAGAGTTTCGAACATCTAGGTTATCTTAATGAAATTTCCTACATCTAGATTGGATTTAATATGCGTCAAATCCAAAACAAAAATGTGATACTGTTGTTCCTACGTCATGATCTTGTTTGACCAAAAAGTTTCAAACTAATTAAATAAGAAGATATGGGGTAAATCCTAGCCAGAGATAATTTATTCTAGATCTGAGATAGAAGACAGGAATAAACAAGCATAGCTGAACGTAAAATTTGATTACAGTCGCGATTGGATTCCATAATATAAGAAAAGGAAGATGGCTGCCATAATATCAAATGATAACGAAGAATACATAAAGGAAGAGAATCACCATTCCTCCATCTATTTGATAAAGTTGAACTACAAATAAAAATGCCAGGATCCTGAGATTTATCCCCATTTTGGCGAAGGGCCTGAGAGGATCGACCCTCTTTTCCTTCATAGGGATGTGTATGTCTCCCTGTGTTCCCATCAGACCCCCCCCCCCCCCCCTTCTTATTCTCTCTCATGATATTTATACAAACACTTCCCTTTATCCAGCGGTCCTTAACTGGAGTACCTAAGTTCTTGGAATATCCTCTAGAGTATTTCCCTGAAATGTCTAAATGTCGAACTAGCCGTTCGGGCCGAACTGAGTGCTCGACCTCGACCGTAGCTGAATCGTTCGCTGATATATTGCTTCTTGTACGTGA